TTCCCTGGCCAGCATGCTGGCCAGGGAATTCTGGGAGATGAAGTCCACACATCTTAAAGTTGCTGAGGTTGAGAAACACTGGTCTAAAGGAACAATTGACCAGGGGCATTAACTCATCCTAAAAGAGAGACAGAGTCCTGGAGAGGCCCCGTGAAACACTCCGTCCTATTTCTTTCTTTAGTTTTCACTTTGGCCCTCACTCTCCGGCCAGATGGGGGATTCAAAAGATTGGGGTGTGGGTTAGCCCTTGACTTTGTCTGAGGTGGCGCTGACCCTGGTTATGTCACTGCAGATGAAGCTGTATGTGAGGGAGGACATGGCATTCTCCAGGCCTCCACAGAAGGAGGCCGGAGGACCACCACGAGGGGCCTTGATTGAGTGTGCGGCTGGGGGAAAGGGCGGAGGGAGTCGGCCAGCAGGTGGTACACTTGGCCGGCCGTGTGATGCCAACACAGCCCATGCCCAGGGGCTCAGTGCAGACAGACCTGCAGCAGTCCTGCCGATAGAACTGCGTCTAGGAAGAGAAAACCAGAGTTTCTCAGCCATCGTGGTGTTCAGTAGGTGCCCCGATGCACAGCAGGGTTTCGGAAGGCCTTGCTTGGTAGGAAAATTACCCGTGTGTGTTCGGAGGTGCTCTGCTCTGCTCTGCTCTGCTCTGCTCTGGCACTGACGGCATCGGCGCCTGGGGGATATCATGATTTCATGGCTCAAAGACTGCAAATTCCATCATTCCTATTATTTGGGTAATGATGTCATGAATGTGGATGACATCACTTCCCCCTCCCCTGCAGACGCCTACAGCTCAGCAGGAGCCCCTGGAAACTGGGAAGGACTCCCCCGTGCTTATGAATGGTTTTGAGGCACATTCATCAGTTATTTCTTCTGTGTGTTGTGATTCAGAGATGCAGATCCTGATATGAAAAGGTCCTTTGGTTCCAAGGGTGAGGAATAAGGTTTTCCACGCAGCTGGGAGAATGCAGAGTGGGTTTTTCAACCTCGGCAACTTTAAGATGTGCGGGCTTCAACTCCCAGAATTCCCCACCCAGGGGATTTTGGGAATTGAAGTCTGCACATCTTAAAGTTGCCAAGGTTGAGAAACACTGATGTAGAGTTAAGACAAGGTCTTCCGCCTTGGTGCAAAGGCAGGTTCCTTGTCTTGCAAATTCCAGCAATCCCCCAGCCCAGCTGATCCTAGGAGCGCTGGGAATTGTGGTTTAGAAAGCAGGTCAAGTTTTAACTCAGCAGACAGTCTACTGTGTTCTTCCATTCCATAGTTTTGACCCTGCTGACGGGATTATGAGACTTGAAATCTTGCATGCCCGGAGGGCACCGGGTAAGGGACTGCTTTTCTCACCCGCAGACATTGCAAAATCTCTAGGTGGGTTCCTATGATTTGCAAGGCTCAGTGGGAAGGGAGTTGGGCACTTTGGGGTCCTGGGCGTAGTGAGAACCAGCCATCGGCTTGGCAGGTTGGTTGAGCAAGGCCATCCCATTGAGACATGTTGGGGATTGCCCAGGAGACGAGCACAGCTGTTGGGCTTGTTAAGCTGGGTTGAGCATTTACCGCGTTGTTGGTGTCTGGCTTGGGACCCAGAGGCTGAACTGAGTGCAAATATCCGACCTCCATCGCCCCGGGCCAGTTTGGAAGACCATGGATGATGTGTGTGTTAGTCCAGCTCACGGACAGTGCCCTTCCGGGGCAGACTCAGTAGGACAAGCGACGCCTAACCAACAGCAGCCCGCCGTAGCAGACCTTTTGTTGTGGTGGGCTCCCCGCTACTCTCCTCTGCATGTTGCCTCCGTATCCTTCCCTTCTCTCCTTCCACCCTCATCAGCATCCCTCCGTCTCCTGGGCTCCTCCGAATTTAGCTGCATCCAGCCATCCAGCCTGCTCGCCCTGGCACCCCATGCCCCTTCCTTCTCTCTGCCCCACCCCACGCCCCTTCTCTTGGTCTGTCCTCCGTTCAGTCCCAGGTGTGGGGCGCCTGGTCTCCTGCCTGCTGATCCGCTGCGCTGGCCATCCGTGCGTTAGTTGGAGGGAGTTGGGTTCTGGCACCCCCTTCCGGCCCCTCTCTCTGGGCCTTTGGATTCTCCCAGACGCAATTTTGTACTAATTACATGTTCCTGCTTCTAATTGCCACATTGTGAATGATAAACAAAAAACTCCAATTTTATTTAATTAAAGACCTGGGAGAATCCACCAGGGAGAATTGTACGGTGAAGACTCGGGAGCTGGAGAGAACGCCACAGCCCTCTCTGGAGTGGATCCTCCCAGGATAATGAGGCCGCTTAGGCCCGTGTGTCTCCATGGGCTTGGGTTATCAAGCAGAGTTAGCGATGGCGTGCCTACCATTTTCCTGAGGCTGGGGTGGCAAAGCTGGGCAGACAGCAGTCCCTGGATGAGTACCAGAAGTGGGACACCATGGGCCAGGAGCCACTTGGTCTCGGACACCTTAACTGTCCTTCCAGACCAGGGGAAACCAAAGACGGTGACCTCATAATCTAAGGGAGCCCCCAACCTGATGTCCTGAGGCCTGGGCCGTGGAGGGAGAAGCCACCTGGACATCTTCAGGTAGCTACGCTGACTCCTGGCATGTCCCCAGATGGTGAAGATACACGCAGATCCTCTTTCAGAATGCACCCTTCCCAGACACAGGAGTTGTTATGGGTTGGCCCTGGACTGGGGACCCCTGAGCTCTCATCTCATTCCTCTTTTTGTGGGGGATCAAGGATCTGGCTTGCTTCTGGAAACAGCCTTGGGCATCCTTTTGGGGCGGGCTGGGTGCTTTGGCTGATGTTGACGAATCCACCCTGATGCTTCCCACTCCCCTCTGGGCCCCCAGAGTTGCTTACCATGGTCCTTGGCTGTTCTCCCTTGAAACTAGGTCTGCCCAAGATGCTGGTCTGTTTGTGGTTCAGCATCTCGTGGGAAGCCCAGCACGGGAACTCGGCCTGCATGTTTAGCTGTTGTATGGTTTGGGCATCGCCGATTATGTCAGCACGGCCACTGAGTTTCACTGAGGCAGGTTTAGGGTTGGGAGAGATGGGGGTAAGCAAAATTTGTCTCCTGGGCTCCCCGAGGCGCAGAAGGGCTGCTTCTTCTGTGCCCGCCCTGCTCCCGCTGGCTGCCCTTTCTCTGCCGCCTCTGGTTGACCTCCCGTTCTCTCTTCCCCGTCCCCCAACCTCTAGGTGCCTCCCTCAGGCTTCGCTGGAGGCTGTCGTGCTCTGGAGCCGCTATGGAACGCAACAGATGCCGTTTCTCTGCCCGAAAACTTCCGTGGGTCTCCTGCTAAGACCGCTGGGTTTTCTAACCTTCTGGGCTCCGCCGGCGGCTTCTCCGGGTTATTTCCTCCTCTTCCTCCTCCTCCTCCGCTGCTGCTGCTGCTGCTCCTCAGGTCGGCTGCCTCTGCCTCGGTCTCCCCCCCGCGAAGGACGCTCTCTGGCCTCGCGCCCTCTCCGGCCACCATGTTCCTCTCACCCCCGAGCCTCGTCCTGCGGGTGCTGAATGTCCGGGCGGGCTCCGCCCTCCTGTTCTGGCTCTTGGGGCTGACCCTCCGCTCGCCGCCCCTCTCGGGGCAGAAGCCCGAGGACAAGTACCCCGTGGTGCCCACCAACTACGGGAAGCTGCGAGGCATCAAGAAAGGCCTGAATAACGAGATCCTGGGCCCCGTGGTCCAGTACCTGGGCATCCCGTACGCCACGCCGCCCGTAGGGGAGCGACGCTTCCAGCCGCCCGAGGCTCCTGCTTCCTGGTCCGAGGTGCGCAATGCCACAGCTTTTGCTCCTGTCTGTCCCCAGAATATCCATGGCATGCTTCCAGGGATTATGCTGCCGGTCTGGTTCACCGACAATTTGGAGATTGTGGCCGGCTACGTCCAGAATCAAAGCGAAGATTGTCTCTACCTCAACATCTATGTCCCCATGGAGGACGGTAAGCACGGGGGGAAGCAGGGAAGGGGAGCAGACACGGTGGTGCCGGCCGGGGTCTTACACCCCCTCTCTGTCCCGCCCACCTCCCAAGGGGGCTTCCCGGCCAAAGCCCCTTCTCTCTCTTGGAGGGGCAGTTCTTCCCACCCCCCAGCCTTCTTCCAGCCCCCTGGCTGCTCTCCAATGCCGCGTGCTAACTTCACCCCTCCATCCGACTGTCCATGCTGCCTAACGCGTGCCCACCCTGCTTCCTGGGGGTGGGGGGGCTTCGGGCCCCTTTCCTTGAGGACTCCCTCTGCAGATGCATCAGTGGCGGCTGGCCCCGAAGGGCGGGAGTTCTTGCTGTTTTGGCTCCCGG